GAGCCTAATACTGTATGACTGTGGGCAAGTCCCTGCCTAGGATGTGATGTCCTCCCATACGGCTGTCGGAGGAGGCAGTGGGACCTGCTGGGACACACATCCCAAGCCTCGCCCTAGGAGGCTTGCCCTCCTCCTTCCCCACTTCCCCCAAACCTTCCAGAGCGCTGAGAATAACAGGGCAGCTGGGAGGGTGGCATGAGGTCGTTGCTAATAGTGATGCTTGTCAGGTAACTGCTCCATGTCAAGCTTGACCTACGTGACCTCGGCATAGCTGTTCAACCACCCCTTTTAGAGCTGAGGGAGCCGGGGCTCCAGTGAGATCCTGTGACTCTCCCCAAGTGTCTTAAACAGAACTAGTCTGCAACACAGCCCCAACTCATGGTCTGCCCCCACCCCACACCCTGGGAGTGCTCCCTGGAGCATCCAAGCCCAATCTACCTGACACTGAAACCTCCCACCCCCTCAGGAGAAGCAGGACAAGGTGGTGCTGCAGTCAGAGGTGGCCAGCCTGCGCCAGAACAACCAGCGCTTGCAGGAGGAGTCCCAGGCAGCCAGTGAGCAGCTGCGCAAGTTCGCGGAGATCTTCTGCAGGGAGAAAAAGGACCTGTGAGCAAGAAGGAACACCCTGCCCGCCACCCTCCTCCGGGCCCCTGACGCCTTGCCTGCAGGAGCTACTGCCTCCTGTTCTCCTCTCACTCATCCTTGGCGCCCAGCTGCTGCAGCTGTGACCAAGATGATCCATCCAGGGCCCAGAGCTTCCACAGACCTCCCAATGAACTTGGAAACCCCAGGCTGGCCACAGGCCCCAAGGGAGGCCTCCCCACGGCCGCAAGCCCAAGAGTGACATAGTCTGGGCCTTCCTCGGAGCCACCCATCTGAGGCCCTGAGGGCAGGACCATGCCCACGCTGCCCCCAGTGGCCTACCCTGCCATGCTCCTCAGCCTCCTCCTAGGACCCAGTCAATGGAAAGCGGAAGCCGGTCTCCAGAACCCACACATTGCTCACGGCCAGGCCTCTTGACCACGTACCACGAAGTGTGGGCTTGCATGAAGAACACCGCATAGAAGCAGCCCAGGGAGGTGAGGGCCTTGGGGGAGCTGGGCCAGTACTCTGCTCTGCAGCATGCCAGCTCAGCTCCAAAGAGCATGGACAGACTCCCTCTGCAGGCCTCTCCTTCTTCCCGCCAAGCAGCCAGGAGCACTTTCTTAGAATTTAAATTATTTTCTTGAGGGCCCCACAATGGAAAGGAAACCCCAGCATCCAGAGGCAGCCTCTCTGAGCGAGAAGCTGTGTACAAAGCAGACACTTTATATGATCCTTTTCTATTAGCCCTTCTCCCACCGCCAGAGGCCACAGTGCCAGGGTCCCTGCCAGCCGGCTCTCTCGTCCTCCTCCCCACCACACCCAGCCCTGACTGGCAGCCACAGGGACTCCTGGAAGGCCTACTGACACCCTAACAACAGAGCCTTCATCTGTCATCGGATTTTGTTTTCTTTGCAAGTGTCCCAGCCCATCTCGAAGCCCCGCCCCCATTGGCAGCCGTGCCAGACACCCTCACTGTGCTCCCCAGGGAGAACACCTCCCCCCAACTCCAGACAGGCAGTAAGGGGCAACGCACCAGGCCCCGGAGCCGTGCGCATGACGCCGTTCACCTAGAACTGAGGGTCGCTTTCTCTCCTCCTTGAAGAGCAAACAAGAAGATATATATATATATATTTATTTTTTCATGTAGAGTTGCGCCAGAACAAGTCTATATGGCCACAATCTGTGTATTTCCCAAACCTCAAGCTGAGGCTCACGGTGTGTCCCCCATGGGCTGGGGTCCATGGCAGGATTCCAGGAGGACAGTCCGAGTTGGTGGACAGGTGGCTTCCCTTTGGGGAAGGCACCAGGTGGAGTGGAGCCGGCAGCTCGGGGTTGGTTCACAGCAACATGTCAGCGCTCCAGCCCCCCTGGCCAGACCACACTGCCTGCCTTCTCTCCAGGGCCAGGCACCTCAGGGAGGGGGCCCTGGGGGCCGCACCAGACCAGACACAGGCCCTCGGGGAGGTGCCCAGCCAGAGGGCTGGGGGGCCAGAGAAGAGGGCACTCAGTGTCTCCCTGTGGCCTGCCTGTGGCCTCCCAGCACCCTCAGTTTTGCGAAGGGAACCTCAGCACCATGGTCTCCCCTGCCCCGCAGCCATGGCGAGAGATGGGCACTGCCCAGGCCACGCCTGTCCAGCAGCCGCCCTCACCCCTGGCCAACTACTGTGATGTCTCTTCCTCTGCCCGCTCCCACTCAGGGCTCCCGCCCCGCCCTCCTGGGACTCTAACCTGGAGCCTTTCATAAGTTGTCTCCTCACACCTTCAGAGCATTCTAATCATTTGGGGACCTAATCATGTACATTGAGAAGTGTAAATTATGATTTCTGGTTTTGTTTTATTTTTAAAGAAAATGTGCAAAACCAATCTATTTAACTTGAGGTTGTTTTATCTGATGGCTGAAGATAGCAGCAGATTTTTTTCATATGTTGATTGATTTTATTTGGATTTTTTTTTTATTCTTTGTCTTCTCCCCCTACCCCACACCACCCCACCCCTCAATCCTGTCTTGAGATTTTCTGGCATGTTTCTGGAGGTTTCAAAGGAAATAAATGTTTCATAGTAATGGTCTGTGTTCTCAGTAGCTGGGCACTACCTGGATTGCTGACCAGAGGGTATGGCCCGCTGCTGTCCCCTCCTGTCCTAGTCCCAACCACACCCCACACACACACACCTCACATCATGCACATTGTACACACACCTTATACCCCACATATCACACTCCATACACACACCCAATACATCACATACGTCACACACCACACACATCTCGTTCATACACACCCCACATATCCTACACATTCCCCATATATCCCCATACATCACACACCCCACATCACACCCCACATACACACAGACCCCATACACCACACGTATCACATAGACATATCACATACATACATGTCACACACTTCATTTATGTACGTCACACACATCTTACCTTCCCAGAGCACACACTTCACACCCCATACATTCAGACCCACATCACACACCGCACACTTGCCCAACAACCAGGGCTCCAACCTTGCAGACATCTCTTTCTTGGAACTCAAACACCAAAAATCCTGACAGACTCAAAATGTAAAACGCCCTTAATGCAAAAACAGCAAGATTATTTTCTTCCAAAATCATGCTAGAGGCCTGAAAGACAGGCCAAGGTCATGCAGCTGTGTTGGTCATTTAAAAAATATCAGCCACCTTGTAGAAGTCAGGAGATATTGCATAAGGCAGGCCAGCTACCCTATCCTGCCCACTAAGATGGAATCCGGTACATTGTCCCCCAACCCTGCCCACATCTGCATCGGTGGGCACAGGCCACCGCCTCTGGGCCGTCTAGTGGGTGGCCCGGGGTCCAAAGCCTCTCCTGCTTCCAGGCCAAGGGGAGGCACAGCAAAACATCCAGAAAGATGGTGACGTATGCCTGTGGGTTCGGCTGCTGCCCAGTCTTCCTCTAGGGTTCCTTTGGCCAGAGAAAGACCTGAACTCTGTGCTCCTGCTTGCCTCCTGGTCTGCCGCGTGGACACTCAGGAGTCCAGCCAGGACTTGAGGTTCTGTGATTTCAGATCCGGGAATTCCATGTGGAGCCCCCAGGGCCAAGGCCGGCCAGGCATAGGGGTCTGACCTGCCTCACACAGGTACCTGTCTCTCAGTTTTCCATCATGGAGCTTGTAACCACTGCCTCTGACTCAGACCCTCCTGGCCAAATTTTTTTTTTTTTTTCCAAAAGGCTTGGGGATTTTATTTCAAAGAGGAGAACCCACCATTCCCAGGTCTCTTAAAAATTTTCAAGCACTCTTGCCACTCTCCCAGTCTCCGCCCCCATGAGGCCCCATCCCTGAGCCCTGCCGCCACCCACCCAGCCACCCAGTGCAGGGAGGAGGGAAACCTCAGAACAAGCTGTTCTCACATCCTCTCCTGGCACCCTGGAGCCACACCAGCCACTTCCAACACCCCACAGCTCGCACACGCCAGCCGCCGGTCGCGCCTGGGCTGCCCTTCTCCATCTTGGCCCAGTTTTCAACTCCCTCTGCCCATGCTGGGCCCTCCCCCAGCCTCTGCCCTCTCCTCACCCAGGCCCTCCCAATTCTCTTCATACCTCCTCGGGCAGCTCTCTCCAGATTTTTCTGCTGTTCCCCTCAATTCCCGGTGCCTGCCTCTCTCGTCTGTCCTTCTCTCCCCAGATGGGCCCCCTCACTCTCTCCTAAGTTCTGGACTGAGCCTAGGCCTCCCCTCATGCATCCCTCCCCTGCCTCACCCCGGCTGGCCAGCGTGGCTGCTCATTTTTTATTGCTGTGATTTCCTCTCTCCCTTCATCACCATGTCTCTCCCCTTCCTCCTACCTGGCGCTCTGCCTCTCTTTGTCCGCTTCTCCCAATCGCTGGGTGACGCTCCTCATCCCTCCCGTGTCCTGCTTCTCGCACACTCCCCACCACATAAACCCCCCCCCATCTTAGTCCTTTCTCTCAATGTCTAGATGTTTCCTTCTGCTTGCCCTGACACTTTTCTGTCTTTGCTCTGCCCCACCTCCAGACCAGGGTGCCCCAGGTGATGGCCAGCCAGAATGACACCTCAATACCCGCACCCTCACTCCGCCCCAGCCCAGGAGGGCCCTTTCCCAGCCCCTTCCCCAGCCCCCAGTCACCTCCCCTCCTTGCTGCTTCCCGCTGCAGCTGCAGCAGCAGCAGCCTGTTGCCAGGGCAACCACAGCTGGCTGGGTGGGAGCCCCCTCCACCCCATCCCCCTTCTCCTTTCCGGCAAGGCTGGGAGGAGCTGGGACAAAGCCAGAGAGGGCTGGGGTGGGGGTGGCGGGCTGGAAGGAGGCGATGGAGATGGAGGCCAACTCAGTGGCTTCTCCCCCAGCAAAGCCCCATATCCCTCTTATTGGTGACACCCCTGAACCAGGCTGGAGAACAGGGCAGTCGTGGCAGAGGGGCCAGGCCCAGTTTAATACACAGAACAAGTTAATTCACAGCAGAGGCAGGCAATAATTAGGAGACTCTCTTACAAGGAGGGGCCTTCCTGGGGTGGGCCCCCGAGCCCACCACCTCCCCCTCTTGTAGTCTCAATTTCCCTTTTTTTTTTAAACCCAAACAACAAACACACAACCACAAGAAACAACCACACCCCCTCGCTGTTGCCAAAGTGGCCAGCGAGGGTGGCAGGGGCAGTCCGGCCTGGCCGGGTGGAGAGGAGGGGCAAGGGAGGAGGAGACAACGAGTCCGTTGCAATCTGTGCTTCTCATTCCAGCGAGCGCTGGGCAGGGTCCCCCCCTTGCCCTGCCGCCGGGTACCACCCACCAGCCCTGTTGGGCATTGGGGGGGGCACAGGGCAGGACTGTCAAGGAGGGGCAGGAACAGAGTTCAAAAAAATCCAGGTTCACATGCAGTATCCACAGCGGGCACCGGGAGGGGCAGGGGTGGGGACCACGCCCGCCAGGCCTGCTCACAGCAAGGGAATGGTGCCCACCTGGGGTGGGGAGATGGGATAGCTCTGGGAGGAGGGGTACCAGGCAGGAGGCTGGCAAAGAGATGGGTGCCCAGTGGATGCGCTCAGCAGTGCCCCTCCCTCCAGCCAGGCCTTAGAGGGCTCTGTATATATTAATTTCTTTTTTTTTTTTTTTTTTACTTTTTTGTCTTTTTCTTTAGAAAAAGGCTCTGTCCATGCCCTGGCTGGCATCCATCAACCCCCCATGCCCGCCTAGAGGCGGGGTATGGCTTTGAGGGGAGTAAAAGTTCCTGGTGCCCATTTGCCAAGGGATGGGGAGGGAGGGAGGAAGGGAGAGGGGCCCCCCTGGGGCCCCCAACCCACAGGGGCCAACATTCCACTTGCAGAGAGGGGAGGGTTGGCCCAGCCCCCCCTCAGGCATCACCCTGTGTCCCTAGCAGTGTGGGCCAGGAGGGTGGCAAGGGAGCGAGTGGAGGAGCTCGGAGAGGCAGGCGGTCAAGCACCAGCCCGGAGGCCCAGAAGAGGTAGGGCCAGGCCTAGGTGAGAGTGATGTAGGCAGAGGCCTTCTCTTTCAGGTGCCGAAGGCAGAGGTGACAGCTCCAGCTCCCTGTGGGGGCAGCCACAGGACAGAGTCAGGCCCAGGGAGGGGGAGGAAGGCCGCCTGCCCACTGCCTACCCCCATGGGCACCTGCCTCTTCTCACCTTCTGGAGGTTCCGCCATGGGGGGGCTCAGGCAGTACATGTGGTAACCCCGATCGCAGTCATCACAGAACAGCAGCTGGTCCTGGGGGGTGAGACCCGCCCAGCTGGCACCCTGGGGGCACGGGCACCAGAAACCGGGGTGGGGGGCCTGGGGCAGGGGTGCGGCAGAGCAGGGGGCTAGGGGAGGTGGTCCCTCACTAGAGAAGGGGCTCTCAGGGCCTTGACAAAGCACTGCGTGGCCAAGCCGGGACGCCCCATGGGCTGCCAGGCAGACACCTGCCGCCTGTGTTTCTAAGGCAACCGCTTCCCGGTCCTCTCAGATGCTCAGGTACCAGGAAGGCCATGGCTTCAGATCCCAGCCCTGCCACTGTCCCCGCTGGGCAGCCTTGGGCAGGCCACATTCCCCCTCCTGAGCTCCAGGTCCCCACTGTGCAGTGAGAACAAGGGCACCTACCTCGGTGGGTGTTGGGGAGCAGTGGAGGAGAAAGTGCCAGGTGGCTCAGTTTAACGTCCACTAACACGGGGAAAGGGCCCAGGGGAAGGGCACCGGACACTCACGTCATTCTCCGAGGTGCCACACAGGCTGCAGGATTTGCATTCGATGCACTGCCAGCGGTAGGTCCGTACGGCCGCTGTCATGTTCACCGTGAACTGTAAACACGAGGGGTGTCCTGGGGGGACAGGGGTGCAGTTAGGAGGCTATTGGACTCCTGGAGAGGCTCAGTCCACCCGCTGGACCGGGGGACGAGGAAGAGTTTTGGGGATGACCCTGCCCTGCCCTCAGTGCCCAGACACAGGAGGACGGATGGCAAGCAGCAGTACCGTGGCCATCACCAGGTCCTACCCCACTGCCATGGCAACCACACTGCTCCCTGAATACCATGGCAACCACATTCCATTACCCACAGTGCTGTGGCAACCACTTTCCTACCACCCACAACACCGTGGCAACCACAGTGTGTTAACCACCGCGCTGAGGCGGCCACATTCCATTACCCACAGCAGAACGGCCAACCACGTCCACCGACCGCAGGAACGTGGTGGCATGGTCACCTTCCCCACACCTCCTCGGTTCCATGCAGCCAAAAACTCATTCTACCCGATGCTCCAGCAGTGCTGGTCCATTTGTGAGTCAACCTATGGCCCCAGGGTGGACACCCACAGCTGCCCACCGTGCCCTCAAGGATGTCCTTTTCTCCCAAGTGTAGCAACCACGCTCTGTCCATCTCCCCCAGCCTGCGGCCCCCCCGGAATCTCAGGGGGGAGGGTCACCTGACCGCCCACAGTCTGCGCAGGAGATGAGGTCCTCTGGACACCCCGTCTTCTTAGAGCCGCCCAGGCAGAAGTCACAGTAGCCGTTGGGGATGACGGTACCGTCAGGTGCCTTCTTGGCTGAAAGACAGCAGGCTGGCTTAGCGGGGCCCGGCAGGTGTCCCTGAAAAGGTGGCTGCGGAAGGGGGAGCGAGGGCAGCCTACCTGTGTGCTTCCTCTGTGCCTCGGGGACCCAGGCCAATTCTTTGTAAAACTCTAGGGGTGGGGGCATAAAGAGAAAGGGGTTCTCACCAGAGGTTCTGCCCAGCCCCCAGCCTCAGCCTCAGCCTTACAGCTGGGGGCAGGGTGGGCTGAGGGCAACTGCCGCAGGCTGGGACCTCCCCGCACCTTCTCAGGCAACTGAGCAGTCCTGCTCATTGGCTGCAGACCTGGAAGCACGGCTTTAAAGGAGCCATTGTCTCCTCCCCCACAAACTGTCTACCAGATAATGCCCACCCAAGCCCTTACCCTTCCACCACCCCCACCCAGCCCAGGTCCCTGGCCAGGTGCCGGCTGTGGGCAGCGCAGGGATGGGCTGAGGACACTCGCCCCATCCCTGGGGAATGGATAAGAGGCAGTTTCTACCCCTCCCCCAGCGCTCAGCTGTCAGGCTGGCACCGGGTTGGCATGGGGCGGGTGCCAAGGACTCCCAGGCCACAGCCCCTACCCCTTGGCCTAAGCTCAGTGAAGGAGGGAAGTGGGGGAAGGGGAAGGAGGTAGGGAGGGAGGGGAGTCATCTCTCACCCCCACCCCAACCCCAAGCTCTAATTGAAACAATAAATCAGTCCCAGAAATATTACGCCCGGCCGGCCGGGAGCGAAGGAGAGATGGTTGGTTGCCATGGCAACCCCGGAGCCAGCATCCCCACGGTCGGTGGGGGGAGGGAGCCACAGCGCTGGAGATTTTCCAGAAATGTCTCCTGTGCCCCCCCCCACCCCCTGCTTCTACTCGCAGGACCCCCCCCCCCGCCTGCTCCCCGCCTCCACCTGGCCGGCCGCCTGCTCACGTTTGTGGTTGTTTTTCCGGTGGAAGGGCAGGGCGTGGCGCTCAGCGTTCTCCTCCCCCTCCTCCTCAGCCAGGTGAGTATGGGTGTAGTGGTAGCTGAGCCCTGGCCGGTTCTTATACCGCTTCCCACAGACTGGAGAGCAAGCCATGGGGAGGGTCCCGGTCAGCCCAGCCTCCATACCACCACCTCTACCCTGGCCTCCAAGATCACACCTCACCTCCCTCCCCCACCCCCAACTCTGTCCCAGGCTCAAGCTTCCCCCACTATCGGGGACCAGGAGGGAGAGCACCATAGGGGCAGAGGTCTCAGGCCCCCCTGCCTCTCTTCCCCCTCTTCAGGACTCACTATCACAGACATACGGCTTGTCTCGGTCCTCCAGGGAAGCGGTGTCCTGGCGTTTCCGGAGCCCCCCGATGCCATATGCCTGGGGACACAGTCATGCGTGAACAGACAGTTTCATTGCCGTGACTTGCAAGGCACACTGAGGTTGGGCAGAACATCCTAGCTTTGGGCCTGGGACCTGTCTGGGGCATGAAGACAGTCCTAATTGGCCAGCCGGACAATCTCTACAAATGACTTCACCTCCATGGACACGGGCCTCCATTTCCTAGTCTGTCAAGAGTCTCACAGCCCTGGTTCCTTGAGGCTGTTCAGGGATTGGACAAGGTCAGGTCTGAGGCCGGGGCTAAGTGCTGGGCTGACTTGGTCACTAGACCATGCCACGGGGCTCAGGGGCCCACAGGCACAATGGGCAAGGGGTCAAGGAGCGACAGGGCTCAGGGACCACAGGGCACAGTGTGGCAGGGGCAAGGGGCTATGGGGTGCTGGGGCAACAGGGCTGCAGGGGCACAGGCACAATAAGGGCGCATGGGCCATGAGGTACAGTAGCCACAAGGCACAGGCGAACCGAGGCACAGGGGCCCACAGGGCACAGCCATGATGGGCGAGGGGCCGCAGGGCACAGACATGATGGCAATACCTTTCCCTTGGTCCTGTTCTTCCTCCTAGGCAGGTCATCCTCCAGGTCCTCCACGTCCAGATCGTGCGGGAACTCAAGCAGCTGCTGTTTCTGAGCAACGGGAGGTAGACTGGCTGGCTGGGAGGAGCTCGGCCCGGAGCAGGGCATGAGGGGAGGGAGGCCTGGGGCCTCCAAGATGAGGAGGAGGTCTTGGGTGGGCATTTGGACTCCCACATCCCAGGCCAGAGCACCTGGCCCTGCTTCCAGTTCCATCTCAGTGCAGATGGGTGCCCGAACAGACAGCAGGCACAATGGGCAAGGGTGCTAGGGCCCCTGCCACCCATGTGCGGAACCTGGATGGCATTCTGGCCTCGGGAGTTCAGCCTGGCCCAGTGCCAACTGTGGCAGCATTTGGCATGCACAAGATCTCTCTCCCTCTCTCTCTCTCTCTCATTAAGTAAAGTTTAAATCAATATTTTTTTCAGAAAAAAGGGAGGAGTCTGGTTGTGCAGAGACGGGGCTACACCGGGAAGCTTCTGAGCAAGGAGCTGGTGTGTGGGACACAGCCAGGCGGGACCCACCTGACAGTCCAGAATGGCCTCTTCCTCCTTCAGCTCCATCTTCTTCTCCCCCGTCTCAGCACACAGCAGCGCCTCGAGCACCGGCCCTTCTGGGAGGCTGCCTTCCTTCTTAAGGGGTGCCTCACAGTCTGGGGACAAGGCCATGGGGTCAGCAGGGCACTGGCTTCGCAAGCCCAAAGCTGCCCCACTCCAGGCAGGGATGCCTAGCCCCTGGCCGCGCTGCCGTCCACCTGGTCCCACTGCGGTGCAAGCACAGCCAGGACCTTGCATACACCCAGAAACCCTCACACAACACACAGACCATCAGACACACCCAGCCAGACTCTGCCAAATGCCTAGCTCCACCCCAAGGGCAGACTCCAGACACGTGCTAGATACCCCCACACCACACCAGGAAACACAGCAAAGAGAGACATGAGCATCTCGGACAATCTCACAAAGGAAGTGGCACCAGCAGACCAAAGACAGCAAACACCCAAAGATTCAGAGACCCAGGACACTTGTGGGAGAAATATCCGGCCTTGGGATGCCATGGGAAACAGGCCAGCAGGTACACCCACATGAGTGTACCTGGGTGTATCATGGGCAGCCAGACTCTATGGGAATCTGGGCACCCCCGGGTGATCATTGGATGAAGACACAGGCATGCACACACACACATATGCACACACCTGTGCGTACACACACACACACACACACGGGAGATACTGAGAGCCCTCCAGATCTCTCAGATGCCCACTGGAGGCCACTGCAGCTCTCCTGTCCACTCCCACACCTGTGGGTGCCCCAGGACGGGAAAAAGCCACCAGCAACATTGACATGTCTAGACATTCATCCAGACACTGATGGGCTAGCACACCTGGGCAGTAAGATGCCCGCTGTGCCAGAAACCCCCAGGTACCCCACAGCACCCGGACACGCCTGGGGTAGAAGAAGGCTGAAGGCTTGGTCAGCCAGGCGCTCGCTCACACACACACACACACACACACACACGTCAGAAGAGGCTTCCAAATGCACCTGGAAACACCTGGGCTCAGCTACAGGTACAAAGCATCGGGAGCAAACCGTGGGCTGACCAAGGAGAAAGGCAACCAGACAGGTGGCTGCCAGCTGGCAGGCCACACCTACCTTGGCACACATATCTACAGTCATGCCCCCCGGCCCAGCTGGGCCCTCCTGTGGAAACTCAGTGACCCAGAGCAAACTGTAGAATCTGGGAAAGACAAGGCAGGATGCTGCCAACACACCACCCAGGCTAGAAGCAGCAGCACAGGGCGCTTAGACACACACTGTGCGGGGGGCTCCCTGGGGGACACAGCCTGGGAGGGAGGGGAGACCCACAGGTGCAGGGTCCCGCTCAGCTGCACGCACCGATCTTGTATTCGCAGGGCCGGAGCCGCGGGTCCTCCAGGATACTGAGTCTCCGCTTTTTCCTCCAGCAGCGGGCCGGGTACGTGTAGATCTGTCCCGGAGCCAAACCTGGGCGAGACGGAGAGTAAGAATGCTGCCCAAAGCCGCCGCCCCGCCCCAGCGCGCCCTCCCGGCAGCCGCGGTGGCTGGCGGCGAGCGTGAACCCGTACCGGGCCCGCGGTGGGTCTTCTCCATCCAGATGTAGCAGTTGTTCTGGGCCACGCCGGTCTGCGAGTCGAGGAAGGGCAGGCGCAGGCTGCGCTCGGCGCACAGGCGCGCGTTGTAGCTGCGGCAGTGCTCAATGGCCTCGCGGTAGAAATCCTCCCCGAGGCTGCGGGCGGGAACCGGCGGGTGGATGTGAGCCGCGGGAGCCATGGGCCACCCCGATCCCGGCCCTGCTGGACCCAGTGTGGGAAGGGGGGACAGTGCCGAGAGCTCCTCCCCCGCCCGCCAATTTGGGGCTCAAGCAAGGGGTGCAGCTAAGGAGGACATACCCAAGATACTGAAACAGACAAAAAAACATTAAATGACACGGGACCCATCCACACGTGAACGCACCACAGGGGCTTCACACACAAAGACAGACACAGCCCACACTCACAAAGGAGAAGCCGACGGCACACGTGCACACACAAGCGTCTCCTGAGAGACACACGCCCCAAGTGACCTGGTGCCGGGATTCACACCCCAACACATGACAGGTATCCCCAACACAAACACATCACCCACAAAGGTTCCCCATAAGGAACAGACTATACCACTCCACGTGTGTGTGCGTGCACACACACTTACACATGCAGTCACAGACCCAGATGCACAAACATCAAGAGACTGCAAAACCAAATTATTCAGACGCTTACCCACAGCATCCAAAGACACGCCAATCACACACACACACACACACACACACAATACAAAGAGACCACAGGTATTCACACAGGTATACACACATCACACACATGCATGGTGCACGGCATATACACATAGAAGTCAGGTATCTAAAATATCACACAGGCAGACACACTCACCCATCACATCCACCAGTATCCATGCAACAATTTCCGGGAAAGTGCAGGCATGCCCACAGCAATACCCAGGCCACTGGACACACAGGCAAAGACCCAAATCTCCCAAGATAGCTAACCCAGAATAAAAGCAATCAAACACACAGCAGAGAACACGCACACGGGGAATGCAACTCTCCCACACACACTTACACACCCCAAGACAAAGGTAGTGTGGGCTTCTCCCGAGTTTACCAAAGGCACCCCCATTTCCAGGCTGTCCCCCTCTCTCCCAAACCCCGGGGGCCTCGAAGCGGGGAAGATGACCCCTTTCCCCAACAGGCCCTGGAGTCCACCCGCGCCCTCCCCGCGCCCGTGCAGAAGCCGCGCGTCGGGCACCATTCTTGCCGGAGACCCACAGCAACACACACACACACACACACACACACTCGCACCCCCGCACACCGTGACAGCCCCCCGGACACCCCCTCGGCCCCACTCCCAGCCGCCCCCAACACACAGACACACACAGGCGCGCGTGCGCCCGCGCCTCCCGCCAGCCCGCACCACCTCAGGGGGCCGGGGATGACCGTGGCCATCTTGCTCCCCGGGTCCTGCCCCCAGCAGGTCCCCGCCGGGTCGGTCCTCCCAGCGGTCGGGCGGGCGCTGAGGCCGCCCATCCATTCATTCCCGGGGGGCGGGAGCACGCGGGCCACGGCCAATCAGAGCGGCGGGGCGGGCCCACGCCGATCATGCTGGGAGTTGTAGTCCCACCTCCCACCCTGCACGGGGAAGGGGGCGCACGCTGCGGGGCGCACGGAGCGCGCGCCTTGGCTCACCCACGCTGCCTCAGACACGCGTCCCCGTGTCACGTGCACACCCGGCTCGCACCTCGCGGGTTCCAGGCGGCTCACACACACATCCGCGCGCACACTCTCCCACACCCGGCGGTACCTCAGCGCTTCCTCAGAGTTGCCAAGTGGACTTCCCCACATGCCCGCCCTGAAGCGAGCGGCCCCAGACGCCGCGTACCCCTACCCCAAGCAGCCCCAGACAACCCCATCCCGTCCCACGTGGGGACACTTCCTCCCCCAGCCACTCACGGACACCCGTCCTCTACCCCTGCTCAGGATGGGGGTCGCGACCACACCTCCTGCTGGCCTTGGGTGGATGTGGGGACGCGAGGAATCAACCCAGAGGGGTTCTGAGTGAGACGTGATGGAGGCAGGAGTCTGGCAGCAGGTAAGATACCACGCGTGCCGCCCGCGCCCCCATCCCATGCCCCTGTGGGACTCACGCGTCCAAGTCCTGGCCGGTTCCCCCAGAGCTTCCTGCTAACGCACAGCCTGGGAAACAGCAGGGCAGGGGTGGCAGGTGTGTACACACCTGAGGCGTGTGGGTCCCTGACACCCGCGTGGGAGCCCTGCATTGGGGCTTATGGCTTCCGCCTGCGCGGATCCAGCTGTTTCAGGCCTTTGGGGCAGAAATCAGCAGATGAAAGACCCCTCCAGATCTGTCTCCCTCTCTCTCTTAAATATGAATAAATTCATTCTATATTTTTTAAAGATTTATTTATTTACTTATTCATTTGCTTATTTATTTATTTTGGAAAGGCAGATATACAGAAAGGAGAGACAGAGAGGAAGATCTTTCCTCTGATGGTTCACTCCCCAAGTGAGTGCAACGGCTGGAGCTGAGCCAATCTGGAGCCAGAAGCCAGAAACTTCTGCCAGGTCTCCCAGGTGGGTGCAGGGTCCCAAGGCTTTGGGCCGTCCTTGACTGCTTTCCCGGGCCACGGGCTGGATGGGAAGTGGGGCCACTGGGATTAGAACCGGTGCCCATATGGGATTTCAGCACGTGCAAGGTGAGGACTTTAGCTACCAGGCTACTGCAGTGGGTCCTAATTTATTAAAAAAAAAAAAAAAGAAGAAAGAAAGAAAGAAAGAAAAGAAAAGAAAGAAACATATTTAGGGCCCAGCACATTGGCTCAGTTGCCAACCCTCCCCATGCAAGCACCAGGATCTCATATGGGTACTGGTTCGTGTTTCGCCTGCTCCACTTCCCATCCAGCTCTCTGCTTGTGGCCTGGGAAAGCAGAAAAGGACCCTGCACCCGTGTGGGAGACCTAGAAGAAGCTCCTGGCTCCTGGCTTCAGATCAGCTCAGCTCTGGCGGTTGTGGCCACTTGAGGAGTGAACCAGCAGACAGATTGTTCTCTTTGTCTCTCCTTCTCTCCATAAATCTGGCTTTCCAATAGGAAAATAAATAATAATAAAGTGACTTCTATGCCATCTCTCTCTCTCTGCCCCCTCTGCCTCTCTTAGTGCCTGGCAGGTAGCAAGTATCCCGTACGTTGACTGTGTTAAGAGGACCTGACAAACACCGTGAAGTGACATGGCAGAGGCCAGCACTGTGGTGGAATGGGTCAGGCCGCCACTTGTGCCACGAGCATCTCATACCGGAAGTGCCCGCTCATCTGCTCCTGCTCCAGGCCTCTGCGGCTGACACACCTGGGAGGGCAATGGAGGGTGGCCACCCAGGTGAGAGACCAGAAGGTTGATTCTGTTGATTCTCTCCCCAAGTGAGTGTAACAGCCGGTGCTGCGCCGATCCAAAGCCAGGAGCCAGGAACTTCTTCTAGGTCTCCCGCTCGGGTGCAAGGTCCCAAGGCTTCAAGCCATCCTTGACTGCTTTCCCAGGCCACAAGCAGGGAGGTGGATGGGAAGTGGAGCTGCCAGGACTAGAACCGGCACCCATATGGGATCCTGGAACATTCAAAGCAAGGACTTTAGCCACTAGGCCACATCGCCAGGCACCAGTTCGCATACCGGTGGCCTCACTTTCCATCCAGCTCCCTGCCTGTGGCCTGGAAAAGCAGTCGAGGACGGCCCAAAGCCTTGGGACCCTGCACCTGTGTGGGAGACCTAGAAGTTCCTGGCTCCTAGCTTCACATCGGCACAGCTCCAGCTGTTGCAGCCGCTTGGGGAGTGAATCAATGGACCAAAGATATTCCTCTCTGTCTGTCCTCCTTTCTGTATATCTGACTTTCTGATAAAAATTAAAGAAATCTAAAAAAAAAAAAAAAGCCTGCACATAGTAGGTGCTCAACAAATACTTAAAGAGCCAGTCCACTGAGCAAGCCCACATCCTGCACCGCTCTCCCCTGAGTTAATGCCATTTCGGGACCTGTGTTTCAGGCAAGAATGAACATCCAGAGGTGGCCTTCCACACCCACAGCCCTTGGGGACTGTTTGACTCAGTCGCTCAGAGGAGCATCCCCATTGAATCAACCCTAAGGAATCCGCACAGGATGAGCTGAGCCGTGGGCATACACTCACACACACACCCTGGTGCCAGTGGCTAAGGGAAACGAACAAGCCCACAAACGCAGTGCCCACCAAGGGGCGCTCCTGCCCACAGCCAAGACCTGCGAGCGGTCACCTCCTTTGTCAATGGATTCCCCACTCTCGCTCGAGAGTCACTCGTGGCCACCTGCGCGCGTGCACACCCCTCCAGTCCTGGCCCCTTCCACAGCTCCATCTGAGCCAGGTAAGGCCGTGACCCGCCCATCTCCCATCCCCCAAAAGGAGGGGGGCCAAGAGTGCTCAGCGGGACACACTGGCACCCTCGGCTCACTCTCCTCCAGTGGTCACCCAACACTTGCCTGCCTCGCCACCCCCACACTCAGGCTCAGCCTGACACTTGGCCACCTTTCCCTGCCCACACCCTCCCTTTCCCTCCCCTTCCCCCTCTCAGATACTTCCTCTAGCCACAGGTTCTCCATCCCTGCCCCACACCCACCCCAGGACACCCACTTTGCTTCAGTAGATCCTGGGTGTAGACGCAGCACCCCTTCGCCAGAGGGTCCCATCCGCCAGCAGGAATTGAACCCACAGACCTAAGTTGACCCTTAGCAAGTGTTACTCCTGCTTGACCTTGGCCACTCTTGCAGGCCCCTGTCTCCTACACACAGGAGCTCCCAGTTATCGCCTAGGTAAGCCTCGCCTCAGCCTCCCTGACCAGCACGGGCAGCACCGGGCAGCACTGGGGCGCCCCACGAGGCTGTGAAGGGCTTAAGCCCAGGGCTGCACGCTCTCCAAAGAGGTGACTGCCCTTCCAGGATCCGGCGAACACCACACACACACACACACACACACACACACACACACACACACGGTAGGCGGCTCCCTGGCACGCCCACTGCAGCTGACCCTGACCCCCCAAACCAGCACTTGCAAGGAGTGGCACACATCCTGAGGGGATCTGAGCCAGGGACCTAGAGAGAGCCCCTCAGTGCCCACGGATTCCACAGCCTGCTCAGCAGCCAGTCCTGGGTGTCCCCCACAGAACTGGTGGCTGCCTCTGTGTGCCGCTTAGGGCCAAGAAGGGGACCGGGGGTGTCACTCACTTCCCCCCATGCACTAGCTCTCACTCGCAGACACCCCCTGCCTGCCCTGGGCTCAGAGTCACACGTGTAGGCGCAAGCTCCAATTCCCAGCCCCTACACACACATCCTACTCTCCCAACTCACGCCCCCACCCCAGGAACCAGGCACGCACAACTGGGGTGCCAGGGGTCCAGCCATCAGCCACAGTCCTTCTCCTTGGGCGGGGCGGGGGACCCACACCAGGTCTCCATGGTCAAGGTCAAGGCGGCCAGCGCTGGGGGCTGGGGGAAGGGTGGGAGAGGTAGCCCCAACCCCTTTGTGCGGCGCCGCTGGCGCTCGCCCTCTTCCTCCTCCTCCTCCTCCTCCTCCTCCTCCTCCGCCCGGCCCGCGGAGGGGGAGGGGAGGGCGGCAGCGGCCGCGCGTCTGTCACTCGGAGCGGCTGTCAGCGCCCGGGAAAGGGGGTGGGGAGCGCAGGGACCCGGGACTCCAGGATCCTGGAGAGGAAAGTCCAGGGAAGGGGAGAGGTGGACGGGGCCAGGGCTGCGCATGGGGGCTGACGGAGAGCTGGGAGAGCGGGAGGAGCCCGGCTCAGACCCCGACATCCCGGAGCCCAGGACGAAGGCAGCGGGAGCTCCGGAGCCGCCCGGAGGAGGAAGAGGAGGGACGTGGGAGAGGCAGGGAATCCCTCGAGACGCGGCCCTCCCCGGGGGGCTCGAGGAGCCGAGGGCAGCCGTGGCCCCAGCCGGCCGGGGCGTCGGGGCTGCTGGGTGCTAGAGACCCCGGGCAGGGCGAGGGGAGCGGCCACCTGCGGCCGTGAGGGCCTGGGTCCCACGAGAAAGCGGAGCAGGGGACCAGAGAGGGTGGGAGGAGAGGAGAGGGGTCGGTCCGGACTTGGGGGCTTCCAGCCCCGACTCCCCAGGCAGGCCCAACGCCCCCCCACCACCACCACTCCTGCAGGACATCGGGGAGGAGACGGAGGAGGGGAGGCCAGCCCCGACCCCCACACTGGGTGGGGAGGCGGCCTCCCGCGCCACATTCCTTCACTGACAGCGACAAAGAAGAGGCGCCCCCACGACCCGGGAGGGGCTCCCGTCCCCAGCGCCCCCCAAGGAGGGGCGGCAAAGGGTGGCAGTCCCCGGGGGCGTGGGGCGGGCGCGCTGGAGAGGGGGGGGGTCCCCATTCCTCCACCCCCTCCCTCTCCATCCCTCCCCCGGGAGGATGGAGGCAGGGCCGGGGCTGCGGGGCCTCTGGACTGGGTGGGGCTGGGGGGTCCGCACGGCGGGGACACTCACGA